CCTGTGGGCAGAGTCAGGTGTGCCCAGGGCTGCATCTGTGGGAAGGCTTCGGACAAGGGCAGTTGCTGTGCCTGATGGAGGAGAGCCTGTTCCAGATGGAACCAGAGCAACATGTTCAAACCTGCAGTTTTAAAACATCTTTTCATATTACCCTGTTCGCTACATAACAGTTTCTATGAGATACCTGAATTATAATAAAAGTTGTTGATCTTAAAAAATAAGAAAACTCTTCAGTAATGTCAAGTGCAGCATTTATAATTCCTTTTCCATATGACTGAGAACTTTATTTAACCTTTGATTAACTGCTCTGTAGCCTGGCCCACTGGGGTAAAACCATCTTCTAGATTGATCAATTAACATTTATATATAATTTGAGCAAAGGGCACAGAGAAATGTCGGGAGGAATAAAGACCCAAGAGAAGAGGAGTCCTGGCAGGTTTTCCTCAGAAACGTCACTCCTTGTCCATTTCTAGAACCGCCTGCACACCGCAGTCTGCTTCCTTAGTAACTCATGCCTGAGTTATTAAAATGACCTCCAAGTAATTCTCACACCTTCCAGCTTGTTCTCCTCCACATGTGCCTCAGAGTTAAACTTCCTAAAACTTCCTAAAACTCCCTTCCCATCCTTAGAAGCCTCAGCGAATCCCATGACCTAGAGGCCGGTCTCCTCACGTCACCCTGCCACTGTCCCCAAACCTTTCCATCTCTTCTCTTTTCCTGATACACCCTCTCAGGCAGCTGAACTGATAGCTTTTCTGTTCTAAGAATTCTTTCTCATGTCTGTGTTTCCTGCCCTGCCCAGAAACCACATTTGTCTCCAGGGACCCCGTGTTGATCCTCCATCCCCTTAAATTCAACTCAGGTTCCCTAACCTTGATGCATACTTCTGTGCTGTCCTAACTTTCTGTGGCACCAGAGTTTGATGACCACATAGGCCTCCTTTTAATACCGGTTCCACACACATGTTGTGTCCCCAGACTGTGGCCTCTGACAGTGTTGTGTTTTTCCCAATGCTTACAGCACTCACAATGCTGTTGTATTCCACATGTGTTTATTAAGTGCCTACTTTAGCCCAAGCGGATGCTCAGTGAGTAACTGAGTAAAAAATATGAGGATGGGAGCAGAGAAATTATGAAATAAGAACATTTTGTTCCTTGATCCACTGGTGTGGTCAGTGACTGTTGATTACGTAATTGTCATGTGCTCACCACCGAATATGGTGAGACATGGGTCATGAAAGTGTTAATCGAGTATTGCCTCTGTCATTTCAAGACTTTTCACTTAATGCTGAGAGCTACGAGAGCCATTTATGTGACACTCGGAATAGAAGTGAAGGCAGCATCTGAAGCACATGAGGAGAGACTCTGTGGATGAGGAGATAAAGAAAGAGAGAAAAACCAGTGAGGAATTGAGCTCCAGGGCAAGTTCCTTAGAGGTCTTGTCTTGAACTGGACCTGGAAATTTGGAATTTTGATTTGAATATGAAGGCTAGCATGATAATTGAAGATTGGGTGACAAAGAGCAAGAGCCCAGGAGTAAAAGAACTGGAAGTCAGCTGGAGGCAGAGTGAGGAACAGGACGTGGGCAGAGCAGGGGCACTGTATTTTAGGAGGCTGCGATGGAAAAACGTCTGTGAAGCTCCTAGCAAGGTACCCAACCCAAAGCAGTGGTCATAAATCCTAGTTTTTCCCATCTTCCTCTTACCTAGTGCTTAGGAAGTTAATTATGTGGTCCCTCCAGCCATGAAATAATTCTCACTCATTTTCTCAGATGATTCAGATGATTAATCCAATAATGTTTCTGTGGCTGTCATGCTTATCCATCGCCTAATTTTCTCCTAAATACTATAAATATTCTTAATAACAGATGAGCAATCTTATCTCAAACCTGTTTCAAGAAATCCAACAGACTGATAATTCTATGTGAATATATGCACATACTAGCAATGTCTGTATCTGTAACATATCTATGTATCCATCAACATACATATTTTTTTACGTGTTTATTTTATATCTCTCCATATCTCAGTCTGTGTGTGTATATTTAAATTCACTGCATATGGATAGTGATGGATGGTGAGAATTCCCAAGTGACTTATCTATACTTGCAACTCGCGGTAAGGCTTGTAAGTTTCTTTTCCAGAGCAGACGTGCAGAAACGAGCATGTGGCTCCTCCTGTCACTGACGCTCGAGCTTCTCACGGTTACACGACGTACCCTGTGTCCAGGAAGGAGCCCTCCTTCAAGGGACTTGTGTGATCTTCTGTCCTTAACTTCCAGTGCTGAACACATTTTTATCTCTTGGGGCCTGTGCCCTTTACCTGGCTTTTTGGTAAACTGCTGTTACCTGCTTTTCATTTCCCACCCACTTTTTATTCTCAGGTAAACTTGCTCTAAAGCCCTTTTTGATGTCTAGTATTTTTTTGTAATAATAAGGGTCACTGGTGTTAGCTGCTGCAATGGGTAAATCATAAGGGCTCTCAGGTCCTGGTCACCATGCACTTCTCAATGCTGCCTTCACTGCTGCCTTGTCCATTTGCCATTAAAATTCCAGAGGGGAGTGCCACGAGACGTCCCCGTGGACCAGCCCAATGCCACGTGAATTCTCCCCGCTCCTGCGTGCGGCAGCCAGTCTTGCCGTCCCGATGATTATGATCAAGTGGTCCTGTCAGCTTGGCCACTTTGCCTTCCCACCTAGATCTCAGTTCAAGGAGGTGGAAGTGAACTGGTGAGGCTGCCGCTAAATGTTCAGTAGGACGACTCCTGTGCCCCCACGAGGATGTGCTTCACTCTGTGGGAACCAGAGCCCGTGTTTCCACAGGGCCTGTGACTGCCTTGTGCTGCTGTATCTGTACGTGGGTGTGTGTGTGTGTGTGTGTGTGTGTGTGTAGTATAGGGAGGGCAGATGGACTACGGTGTCCTTTGTTGAGTGCATCCCTCCACGACCCAAACATTGGGCCTCTCAAACCTTTCCTAATGTGGGGGCCCCTGGATCTGCATAGGCTACCCTCACACCATGGCCTCTCACATAATTACCATTTCTTTCTAATCTGTTCTGAATAGAGGGATGTCATCAGTAGAGTAGAACAATTCATGTTCTGTGGGTTGTCTCCATGGTCTAAGGTTCTTCCGGACCATATTTTAACTGAAGGACCAAACTATAAACATATAGTGTTGTCCATACATGAAAGAACAAGCTTGCTGGGCCAATGGCTGCACATTCCGTGTACCTTCATGTCTCTCTGGGGCACCGTGGCAGTAGTTCATGGGCTGACTGCTTTGGCTTTCTAAGTTTTCTCTTTATTTCTTCTGCAAGGTAATTGCTAAGCTTTCTTTTTAACCTTGTTACGAATCAGAATATTTTTCTAAATGTTCTAATATTTTCTCCAGTATTTCCCTGTGTTAACAGCAGATTAGGGATCCCTAAAGGCTTAGTTGACCATGTTGCTAAAACCAGAATGGAGAATATATTTCACAGAACTTAGCTCTGAGGAGAAGGTCGAATACGGCAGTTCAGCAGGGTCACCCAGAGTGAATAAGGTACATGTTCCCTTGTGCATGCATGCGTGTGTGTGTGTGTGTGTGTGTGTGTGTGTGACGGGATAGAAATGGGACAGTGTTATATTTTATCATCTTCAAGCAGAACATTATTAGAAAGGAAAGGGTTGAAAGTTCAGAACACAGTCAATGCCTAATTGAAAAAGGCTCTGGAAATGGGTATGATGGCCCTGAAAGGACTTCAGTGGCTTCAGAGGTGAGAAACAGAAGCACATAAAAACGTTTAGGGACACGCTTGCTCAGCTTAAATCGACCATTGCTTTATAGACCCGTGCCATTAAAATACCATGTTATTTTGTTTTGTTTTATATTAGATATTGCTTTGAAATGAGTGGGAAAGCAGAATTTTGAAAACCTTTTAATTGTTAAGCAGTTATATTCCACTAATATTAATGTTCAATATCAATTTCTTTTTTTCTGGGGGAGGGCTTTTAAAGAGCTCTTCTATCTCTTAAGAATCATGTATGAATTAAAAAAATATTTTGTATTTTGTTGTCATTATATAGAGAATAAGTTTATCTAGATAAGCTCCAATGATTTTCTTACTATTAAAGTGGCCTTGGGGCTGATATGAAATTAGTATATTCAATTTGTCTCTTTTTTTATTGGTCATAAAATCATGTGGTTCATTTGCTAGCAAAAATAGATGGTTATTTGGGGGATTTTTTTTTCCTACAAAGCATTTTAAAGGAATACAAAATTTTTAGAACTTATATATATCAATTTATTAGTAAACTCTAATAATTTAATCAATTGGATATTTGGAAAAGGGGTGGGGTAACACAATAGACAAAATCTTACAGAAAAAATCTGTTAGATAATTTTTATTTCGGAATTCTACTCTTCTGCTTGCCACTGAAATATGAGTGACTGTTCAACATACCTATTTTGGTATAACAGTAGTTTTTCTTATGGCTTTAGGGAAGTTCAGATTTTATATATCATTAAAATTAAATTCAAGAAACATTTAAAACCTTACAATGCCTGGTACTACAAGAATATCAGTGTTAAGTAAGCACAGTATCTACTTTCAAAGAGATCACAGTCTATAAGAGGAGAAACATACCAATACTATGATGTAATTATGGATCAGTAAAAATATATGTAAATGTATGGGGTGATTCGTGGGTTAATTGCAAATTATGAGGCTTCTAGAAGACTTCGACAAAGAGGTTATATCTGAGCTCGGGTTTAAACAGCTGATTGGTAAATATGTTAATATAAAAATACAAATTTAGGAAAATCAATGTTTTAGATAGTTAATGAAGTGCATCCAATTTTTAAGATGTAGCTTTGATCGATGTGCGCTCAATGCTGAGCGGTGCAGGTCTTTACACAGGGCATGCCCTAAGCAACCCGACACGATTACAAAGTGCCCTAAAGCACCTGATGCCTTTCCACCCTTAGAAGTACTAGAGGAAATGTCTTTCTTTTTCTGTGCAGGAGCCCTGTCCTGGTTTTTCAGTGCAACCACCGCCACGTGATTTGCTTAGACTGTTTCTACTTATACTGTGTGACAAGACTTAATGACCGGCAGTTTATCCATGACCCTCAGCTTGGCTACTCTCTGCCTTGTGTGGGTAAGTCTGGCACTTTTTTTTTACTCCATTTTTAATGCTGATTAAGAACAGAAGAATTATTGATGCAAAACCATCTCAGATAAATTCAATCCCTGGCTGAAGGGTTGAAAAGTCAAATATCTATTTGATCCCTGTTGAGAAAGAAACAATGTTTGGATCACAAAAAATATAAAACCCTAAGGTATGAAGGAATTATGTTGGACTAGAAAATGCATCACCTGCACAAAAGTATGGAAAACAAATTTTAAAATATTATTCAGCCAGTGCACACAAAGTATGTCTATGGATTCACCCTGCAAGTTATAGATTACCCTGGATCTAGAGTAGCACTATCCAGATTTCTAAATTGTTACCTTAGTCTCTAAAAATTTTGACCACATACACATATATATGAAAGAATATATATTTAAAAAGAAATGAAAGAAGATAAAGCTGAAATATTTAATATTTAAAATTATTTTATCTTTTAACATAGCACAATATTCTTTATTTGTATTATACGGCTATTGTTACATGTTTTTTAATTGAGGTGAAATTTACATAACATACAACTAACTATTTAAAGTGTACAATTCAGTGGAATTTCATGTTTTCACAATGTTATGCAATGACCATCACCTCTATTTAGTTTCAAAACTTTGTCATTACCCCAGAAAAAGTTCATTACCCCACATTCATTAATAATCACTCCCAATTTCTCCTTGCCCCCATCTCCTGGAAACCACTAGGGTCCGCCTCTACGGATTTACCAATTCTAGATCCTTCCTATAAAAGGAATCATACAATATGTGACCTTTTGTGTCCTCCTTGTTTCACTTCACATAATTTTTTTGAAGTTCATCCAAGTCATGGCATGTACCTTCATGCCTTTTTATGACTGAATAATATTCCATTATATAGACATACCATGATCTGCTTATCCATTTATTCGCCGATGGACATTTGTGCTGTTTCCAACTCTTGGCTATTATGAATAATGCTGCTGTAAACATTTGTGTACTTATTTCTGTGGAGATATGTTTTCATTTCTATTAGATGTGTACCTAGGAGTGCAATTGCTGGGTCGTATGATAATTCTATGTTTAACCTTTCAAGGAACTACCAAACTATTTTCCATAGCTGCCGCACCATTTTGCATTCCTACCAGTAACTTATAAGGCTTTTTATTTCTCTATATCCTCTCCAACACTTGTTATTTTTCTGTTTTGTTCTGTTTGGTTTTTAATAGCCATCCTATTAAGTCTGAAGTGGTATATCATTGTGGTTTTGATCTGCATTTCCTTAATGACCAATGATGTGGAATATTTTCTCATATGCTTATTGTCCATTTGCAAATCTGTTTGGAGAAATATCTCTTCAGGTCCTTTGCCCGTTTTTTAATTGGGTTGTTTATCTTGTTGTTGAGGTGTAAGAATTCTTTATGTATTCTGGATACTAGACACTTATCAGATACGTGATTTGCAAACACTTTTCCTATTCTATAGGTTGTCTTTTTACTTTCATGATAATGTCCTTTGATACACAAAGGTATTTAATTTTGATGAGGTCCAATTTATCTATTTTTTCTTTTATTGCTTATGTTTTTGATATCAAAGGTAAGAATGTGTTGCCAAACCCAAGGTCATGAAGAATTACCCCCATGTTTTCCTCTAACTAGCTCTTATGCTTAGGTCATTGCTACATTTTGAATTATTTTTTTTATATATGGAGTGAGATGGGGGTCCCTACCTTATTATAAATATATATATTTAATGATTGCAGTGTGAGTAAATATGCTTCGCTGTTGAGAATTGTGATTTGAAACTATGTGCTTCCTTGATTCAGTGGTCAGGTTTTAAGTTTAATTTATTGCAATACTTATTTGTAATACTTAGTTTTAATGTTGATCAAAGCTGAAAAATATACCTCAAAATTATTTCACATTTCCAAATGGAAGAAGCTAATTGCATGGGTGATTTTGTAAATTATGACACTCGTTTTTCAATTGCATATGCCCATAATGCAATGTTTTTAATTAAGATTCACGTCATATATGTGTCAATATATTGTTAAGGAAAACTCACGGGGCGGTATTGTGCTTTTATATTTTTAACAAAAGCATTCAAAACTTAGTGAAACATTTACTTGCAGATTGAAAGATTCTGTTTTTAATGTTTTTCATGTGGTAATTTTGTACTCATAAACTCTCTTTTTCGCAAAACCATATAACATGGAAACATTTCTAAATATCTATTTTCATATCTTCTCTTCATACTCAGGGCACTTTTAAAAATCAGTTTATTTCTCACTTATTTTTAAATTTTAAACCTTTTGAATTCTAGGAAATTTCAAACGTACAAAATAAAAAAAAAAAAAGTACAGTGACTCCCCTTGTACACATTAGCCAGGCTTTCTAGTATAACAAGTTGTTCCAGGCTTTTCTTGTGATTCTTACTACCTTTTATTTTTTCTTTGGAATCCTTTTAAATACTCTTTGTGACCGTACCTACTTCATTGCTGGTTATTTAAACATAATCCTCCATAAAACCTTGCTTTAATTGTTTAGAATGCCACTTGCTACCAAGAACTTATCTTCCCTGACACCTCTTTCTTTTAATATTTAACAACAAGAAGGCAAAAACTGCATATTTGTGTATTTGGTTATTAAAAGAGAATCTATCCAGAATAGAGTAGCCCATTGTTGTCTGAAGTTCCTGGTGATGGAAATATTTAAAGATACTTAAATTGTGAATCTGTTGATCAAGAAATATTTATAAAACTGATACATAGGCCTGTGCTAATCTCCACACATTATCAATGGTGACTATCACCCTACATTAAGGAAACACCGTGGGGCGAGTGTCCTGGGGGGTGCAATTTAAAGCTCAGTTCACAGACACAGACGCCATGGTCCATCCCCGTCATGGTGACCTGAGTGAATTGGCCTGGCCACCACTGCGGTCACGCACTACAGGATGAGCTAAACAATATCATCTTGATTTGTGTTGTGTGTCTGTGTATGTGTGTATCTGTAAGTGTGCAATACGTGGAAACTAAAATTGACATATTTTCATGTAAAGTTTTTCTATTCTTTGATTTTTAATAAACTTTGGAAACCAGGAAAAAAGAATGTAGCAAATAACCACAAGCTGAGATGAGTTAAAAATAACCTACTGACTTTCAACTGTGTAGTAAACTTTCTACACTGTATAATTCAGTTCGATACTTGTTTCTTTAAATCTTCAACAGTGTTTTAATATATATCTTCAAAGGTGTTTATAAAAAATACAATTCAGTTTGTCACAATATTGTCATGTATTATTTATCCGTTTTTTCACTGTGGCTCAAATTAGAAGTATTCCTCATATTATGTGAAAAGAGGCTTTCAAATGTTATTACAGAATTTTTTTATTTTGTAAAAAACAAACTGGATAATCTTGAATCCTTTCTCACCAGAGACTAAGAGACTGTGTTTTAAGACTCCCACTGCCCCCTCAAGTTGCCCCCTTTGCAATTTATTACATAATGTATCTGATATGCACACCAGGGTCCAGTAAGTTCCGATATCAGCCTGTACATTAAGTCTTTGCCATCCCACCCTGAACGCGCCCGATCTCATCTGATCTCAGAAGACTAATTTTTTCATATTTTATTTTTTATTTTATTTTTTTAATGTATATTTATTTATTCTAGAGACAGAGTGTGCACAGAAGAAGGGGGAGGGGCAGACGGAGAGGGAGGGAATTTCAAGCAGGCTCCGACTCCCCGCTGAGCACAGAGCCTGATGCAGGGCTTGATCGCACCACCCTGAGATCAGACCTGAGCAGAAATCCAGAGTTGGCTGCTTAACCGACTGGGCCATCCAGGTGCCCCAAATTTTAAATAAAACCTATGTTAGCTCTAATGTTACCTCCCCATAAACCAATGAATAATTTTGTACATATCCTGGGGTATACACAGAGAATCAGAGAAGCTGAGTTCAAATCCTGGCTCTGAGACTCACCCCCTTTGTAATAAAGGGCAAGTTACTTATCCTTCATAGGTCTTGGTTTCGCTTTAAGGTAAAATGGAGACACTACAATAGCACCTATTTATACATTGTTATGTGGGTGAATTAAAATAAGGCCATACAAAGTGCCTTTGTGTTGAATGCTGAAGACAGTAAGCACATAATGAATATTGGTTTTTGTTATTTTGGTTGTTCTGTAAGCATGTGTTCCTACAGACAGTATATGCAATTTATTTGTGCATATATGTGTATATTCCTAAAGGAACATATACTCAAGCATTCTTTAACTATAGGTTGGTGTTTACTATAATTCAGTACATAAAGCAACCATTTTACCAAGCATTATTCACCTACCCATATATCTGGTTTATGTGACTTTGCCTTAATTCATGGAGCATAGAACAAGACACATAAAAATAAACTAGAAAAAAAAACAGAAATAGAAATAGAAAATCAAGGCTTTTCAAACTATAGATAAAAATAGCAGACTATCAGGAACAAGATAATTGAACTCATACTATTTCCATGGCACAGTCCTCTTTCATGGTGGGGTTAATTAAAGTGTTATATCAGTGGGGATAAAAGGTTATATCAATGTCTATAAATCTTATAAATAAAACTTAATACTATGTATAAAAAGCAAAAATACTGGCTAATTCCTTAATGGAACTAAAACTGTATTGCAAAGTCAGCTTGTTATTACTCCAGCAAGACTCACATTCTATGCCAGATCCATTCAGCAAAGAAGGTGTGTTTGCTGGTCACACTGATCATGGTTCAGTAGAGCATTTCTTTGACGGCTCTTGCCTGACGTCAGCAGTCTTCTATAGAAAGCCTGGATCTCAAAGGCCCCAGTATTATCTTTATCTTTGATTTTGGAAGCTTAGCTTTGTGTGTGTGTGTGTGTGTGTGTGTGTGTGTGTGTGTGTATTCTTTTATTGTCCATTGGTTTAGCCTGACTGAATATTCTTGATTTCTCTGAGGAGTTGTCCATTTATCTTTCCACCATGGC